TTTGTGAAAAAGAAATTGTTTCCTGAAAATATCATTGTTCATTTGATATTGAATGATGGAAAAAAAAATTAGAGAAAGCATAAGAAAACTGAACTCATTTTTCACTCAACTACATTTAAGATCTTATTATAATGATATCTTAACCTTAACCTATCATTTTGATTTCTAATCCATTAAAATTGCCCTCTTCTTATCAGCTTCTTCAGACTTAAGAAATTACAAATTAAATGAAAATATTACTAAACCTCTTTGCCACAAAGTACAAATAATCCCTAAGTGCACCATTTAATGATGGGTCTGAATCATGCACAGTAAATTTAAATATCGATAAGTGAATTCACATCTTGAGGAAAGTGCTCTCATTCATGCTGAAATAAATTTCTCAGCCAAGTGAAGAGCATTTATCTCAATGTAAATTTCCCTGAAAATATATATTTAAATATTCAAAATATTCAGGTGACTATGCTTCTTCTTTTCTTTACCGAAGGTGACAACTTTCTCATCCCTAGATATTCTTTAGCAATTTATGTTCACCTCATATTGTTCATGTCAAAATCATAGCTCAAATACATTGTCTTAATATTTTCTTTTAGGCATAACCAGATAGTTGTGAGTTTGCTCTTCTTAACCATGCTTGTGGCTGAGATAATTAAGATTCTCTTTTAGTAAAATTTAAATGGAAGAGAAAGGAAAGACTACTTTTGTAAAATGGCATTTTTTAAATGGAGTATAAAAGCATCTGGTACCTGATTATAATCTAGGTAAGTCTGAGACTAAAGAAATAAAAATGCTTTGACCAAAGGGATAAATCAGATTAACCCACACCTGTAGTTATGTGATTCAGCCTTTTATTTTGTTTCTGTTTAACCCTTAAAATTTAGTTTTGAAGTAGTTATACTTTGATTTGATCAGATTCAAATGGATTAAATATTAAAGTAACAAATATTTGCTTTGTAAAAATTGGTAACAAAAGAGAGAAGGTGTTTCCAGTGTCTTGAGTAAATGAAACCTATGTTTATATTTTGAAAGATGTCACAGAATTTTTAAACTCATGTTTTATTTTCAGATGTAAAATATTTAAAAGAAGAGGACGCAAATCGCAAGACATTCACTGTCAGCAGCACACTGGATTTCCGAGTGGACCGGAGTGACGACGGAGTGGCAGTAATCTGCAGAGTAGACCATGAATCCCTCAATGCCACCCCTCAGGTAGCCATGCAGGTGCTAGAAATACACTGTAAGTAAACACTACTCCTCCCTTCTTTATCTTGGTAGCAAATCTTTTTCTGCTTCTAAAATCATTTCAAAATTACCTGCAATTATTGCAGATGTGCAGCAAAATCTACAGCAACATGAAGTGAAACTACCCTCATTAGTATTAATACAGTTCAAAAGAACGTACTGCTTGTTTGAGTGTCATTCTTGACAATAAAGAAAAACAGAGGAGATTTCATAAGGTTAATATTACTAATTATGTTCCAAATTATAGTGATATATATGTGTGTGTATGAGAGTGGGAGAGGAAAAGTGGTAATTTGGACAAAATCAATGAGAACTGGGAATCTTAGAAGGACCTTGATGAAATTTGTTATATTGTAATAACTTTGTTATATGTAAATGTGGCTTCCCAGTTACATGTAAATGTGGCTTCCCAGTTACGCTTTTAAAATTAGACTAGTTTTTACCTTCTATAGGACGTATACTAGGTCTCTATAAATATAGGAATATTCATAATGTTTTCTTCATCATCCTTATTTGCAATTAATAATACGACATTAATTGCATAACTCCAATAGAACAGAGGTAGT